AAGATACCAACGTGTCTATCTTGCTAGCATGTTGCTCATTAAGTATGCATTGCTAAGCATGTGTTGCTACCAGAATTGCAGCAACGGAATCCTCATTTGTTGGAAACTTGATGCCTTCATGATATGATAATATTGAGTAGCAACTTGCCAGCAGTTGGCTGACAACGCAAGATAATATTGATGTAACTATCTTGCTGTTAAACTGCTGGCAATACATATATATATATATACATTGTTTCCTGCATATTGCTACAATATCAATATATTCGAAATCGTTGAAGACAAATCTATGCTAATCATAAGCAATCACAGATTTATGTGATTTTGCTGAGACGTGCTTTGCTATCTGGAAATAGAAAATTTAAATCACTTTAACTGATTTTTTAACAAAATTCATTTTTAAACGATAATATGTTTACGCGAGAATCGGCCGCGCGTACAGAATGCTTGTTTGTGTTTGATTAGTCAATACGCGACGTCGACTCGTGGGTCGTGGGCTGCGTTTCAGAACGCAGTTACAATGATGTTAGCGCGCTAATATATTATACTCGTACTTTATTTTATAAAATTTTATCGATAAAAGCGCGTTGTCAATCGTAGTCTTTCTATCTCAGTGAGAAATGATAATAAAATTGATATCGAATTCGATTTGATTTCGAATTAACAATGTCGATTCCATTATCATTTCTCACTGGGATGTATCTATGTGCCAGTTTTAAACATTCACCAATATTTAATATTCGTGGATCATCGAAGCAGCAGTTCTCGTACGATTGCAGAGGTTAAGCACTGACCAGGTACAAGACTGGATGGGTGACTGCTTAGAAAAATAAGAAAATTAATTCTCAAATGAAGAGGAAAGCGTTTTTTTTTCAATTATAATTTTGTCGTGTGTTCCAGAAAATGATATCAATCAATAATACTTTTATTTTAATAATAAAACTGAATTAATTAATATGCGAAAAATATTTTACATCTCACAGATGTTGCAATTCAATGAACATTAGACGTTTCTTCAACATTGAATCTACGTTTCGGATGTTGTTGCAACTTTCGCAATTTTGCAATTCAACGTTTCTGAAATAATGGGCGCATTCAACGGAATGACTGAATAATTAAATAAGTGCTCGCTGTTCTTAGTATTTTTTGAGCTAATTATAAAATATCGTAAGATTTCTAAGACTTTTTGTAAGTATAATTTCTAATGAAATGTTATATATAAAATGTAAAAAATTAAAAAAAATGTTTTAAATTGTGGGATGAGAAATTTCAAAATTCACTTGTCTGAAAAATTCTGAGAAAAGATGTAAACTTGTCACAATATTTTTGAATATTTTTGAAAAATTCCAATTCGTAAAAATTATGAGAAATTTTTTCACCAGATCATCAAGAGAAAATTACACTGTATAGCGAAGTATAACCTACATTATGTTAGCATCAAAGAAATTTTATTTGTACAGAAAAAGGAAATCTATCTTGAATATCGAGTTCAATAAAAAAATTATATTATAATCTGTATTGTCGACGAAGAAAAAAAAATAATCCATAGAATGCCTTGAATGTGCAGCATCAAGGTTAAAATATTTGAGAGCAATACTTTAAAAAACAATTAAATTTTTATTTCATAAAAATAATAATTCAACAAACAAAGTCGTTTAAATATAAAGTAGTCATTTGCGACTTTAAAAATACAAACTAAAAATAAATCCAAGATAAAAGTTTTTATACACACACAACACACACACACACACACACACACACACACACACACACACACACACGCACGCACACACACACACGCACGCACGCACGCACGCACGCACGCACGCACGCACGCACGCACAGACTAATACACATTTGTAACAATATAAATACATAAGTTTCTATAAATAAATTGAATTTAATTATAAGAGAATGTAAGCATGGTATAGCCTTCTTAATGTGGATTAATAGAGTCATATATAATCATATGAGTCTGCATTTTCAACTGAAATTGAATGTTATTGAAGAAAATCAGCCTTGTTTAATGTATACAACTACAAAAAAATTTATTACAACTAATGAGATGACAATGAATCTACGACTGAAAATTTAGATGACAACTCTAACTTTATAAAGTAATCTAACAAGCTAAAGCAAAACAATTAGATAATAAGTTGTCAACATACATTATTAGATATAAAAAGGAAAAAACAATTTATACATTATCAATTGGAAAGAACAGTTTATACATTATCAAGTTATCATTTAATTTTTTTACTAAAAAAGATTTAGTTGATAATTTCATAACATTTGCAAAAGAAAAAATGTTTGAAAATTAAAAAACAAGTTATTCTAATAAATTTTATTAATTTAAGATTATAAACATTTCAAAAATGCATTTCAAAAATGCATTTACACATTAAAAACATTTTTTTATTAATTATGAATTACAATTATAAAATAATTTTAAATGTAGAATAATTTTACAAATTCCCAAAGTACCTTTATATTTAACAATATTTTAATTTACGTTTTAGGTTATGTTAGATATTTTTCCACGAATATGATTAATATTTTCATAATTGTTATAATTAAAGAGCACAAAAAACACATTTTATATAATACCTATATCGAAATAATTTTCACAACAAAAATAAATCTATTTTCCTGGTTCATCAACATGATGTGCACATTTTTAAATCATTTTCTCCCACATTTTCAGGTTATATTTGACAAAAAGGAAAAAACGGAAAAGCGAAAAAATTTCTCGCGTGTCGGGGCATAATTGTGCATGAGTTGGGTAATTGTGTGCAAAGCATAAGTCGTAAGAAATGAAAGAATATTATGGAATGAATATTATGGAATGTTGACAAAGAAAGAAATTACATTTATTATATTACAATATAAATATACAGGGTGTTTGGAAAGTAAGGATAAATCTTTCGCATAAGAATAGAATGGATAGAATTTTTGATCAACTTTTTAGGACAGCATCTTATTTTTATCAACATGAGAAAACATGAGAAAGTACTTATTAAAAAATTCTAAAAAAATTCTTAGAACTTTATGAGAAGAAAATAAAATTTAAATTTTTGTCTTATACAATTTTTCTATAAAATTAATAATATTTGAATAAAAAATTATTGAAGACTGATTTTTGACAATTTTTAGCAATTAATATCTTATTAATTATTGCTAAAATCGTAAAATGATAGAGGACTTTTCTTTTCAGTTTAATCCATTCTGCCCCTATGCAAAAGATTTATCATTACTTTCCAAACATCTTGTATATTAACATATTACATTTCAACTATTCAACATATATCATGTATTAAAATATAAGGAAGAATGTCCTATTTTGGCCAATCGCTTTTGTATAAATAAAAAGAAAGACCATTTTGCAATTTTCGCAGCAGTTAACAAGATAATTAATAATTAATTTAATAACTAAAAATTGATCCAGGTAGAGAACTTTTTGAGTTTAGTCCTTATCTATATAAAAGCGATTGGCCAAAACTTATGGGATACTTTACTGTACATACATTAAGTAAAAATACAAAATTAATAATATAATAATAATGCATATAGACTTTGACAAAATAAAGTGGTAAAATAAAATAATAGTGCAAAGAAGAAACGAAAAAATTAATGCTATTCATAGTATAGTATATGAAAGATGGATAATTGTGTGCATTTCAAATCGCTTGCGCACAGCTGCCCGTGACTTGACTCGATATGAAATACGATTACTTCAACAATTCTTAATCAAACTTAATAAATAATAGTTCAAAAGATGCACATAATAATAAACCTATTTCAATAACGTATGCAACAAATAAATTAAAAATACGGACTTACTACCTTATTTGTTGTATGCTAAAAAAAAGAAGAAAAAATATAATTTCACTTTTTTGTAAATACTTCTCTGATTAGCAACGTATTTATGTATCTTTTGTAGTTATATCTTAAGAGGATGACTTCTTGCGTAAAAATTTCACTATGATAATGTCTCTATCTATTGAAAAAATACCAAACTAGCATGTGCACAATTACTCGTTGCACACAGTTCCCCTACTTTCTCTTATATATGCATGTTTAAAAATAAAAGTCCAAACTTTTAATTTTAAATTTGAAATCACGACAATGATACAAAACATTAAAAATATAATTTCGTTTGATATTTTATAAACTTTTCATTTTGATTTTGATTTAATTGAGTTGATTTGGTTTAATTATATCTTAATATTATTAATATTAATGAATTGTTCTTCGAATATTTCTCATTTTTCCCGTTTCTATTGTTTTGTGTGAGAGATATTCTGTAAATTAAAATTAATAAAAAATTATGTGATATGGGACAGGAATAATTGTCCAATATTCCAACAATTTCAATTGAATATAATATTGTTAAAAATATCAATTTTGATATATAATTGATAAGCTGGCAGAAAATGAAATTCAGAAAAATGTAATTAAAACATTTTTGTTTGTAAATAATATTTTTCGTAAATGTATAATAATATTTTCCGTATTTATATTATCATTTTTTACTTTTAAAAAATTAAGAGAAATAAAATCCCAAAAATAAAATCTTGCCCAAGATTTATAAAAAGCTAGTTACGGCCCTGTTTTCAATCGTAACTTTTTATTAAAAAATATATACTTATATATTTTTATTAATGAAAAAAAAATATAAATATTATGTTTTATTATTATTAATTAATTTGTAGCCTACAAAGATAAATATGTTTTTATCGTGTAAACTTGATGTTATACATTATTGTCAAAATACACAGTAACATTTTAATTTATCTCCTAATTATTCAC